AATAAATCAATATTTTGCCACATTGGTTTCAGTTTTCTCACTCTTGGAAAAAAGGTAAGGCAAAAATACCCATTGCATTTCTTTCCTCTCTAGAAGTATCCACTATTCAAAGATTATTGATTATCATGCTCACAGGAGTTTACTGTTTAACCAAGTAATTATGTATCTGTAACAACTATATAATCCTGCTTAGTGTGTGTCTGTGTCTAGATGTATATAAATTGTATTACACTGTGTGTATATATATCCTTTTTTACATTTAATTTTTTCATTCAACACTGTTTTTTGAGATGCAGCCACATTGGTATCTATTTATCCATCTATAAATATATTTATACCTAGTCATTAATTTTAAACTCCTTTATTTCATTAAAAATAAACCAAAGTTTACAGATTTAGCTCATCTGTGGAAAGTTAGATTATTTACTTTTTTTTTTTTTTGGAAAAAGAGGTACAATAAACATTTTTTTGCAGTGACCCTGCTACTATACACAAGAGTTTCCTTAGCATAGACAAAGAGACATGGTTTTGTTGGATATGCTCATTTTCGTCTTTATTAGATATTCCCAAATTTTTTTTCCAAAGTGGTTATACCAATTTACTCTCAACAGCAATGTTAAACCATTCCTCATTCTCTATATCCTCACCAATCCTTGACATTATGAGAATTTATTAATTGTAGCCAATCTGAAGGTTGTGAAGTGGTAACTAATAGTTACACCTTGATAATATTTTCCTAAAGTCTTTTCTGGTCATATAATTGTGGTCACCACATCAATGCCAAGTCTTATCAAAATAATAAAATAAAGGTTGTGACTTAAAAAACTCCTTCCATAGTTTACAATGAATTTACTTTTCCTCAAGAAATGTCTTACATGGCTAATGCTGGCCCATGAACCCATAAATCAGGCCATAAAAGAGGAATGGGGACATGGCCCCAGCTCTGTATTTATTTTCTTGTATTCCATAATCCAATGTTACTTAAAAAGCAAACTGCCCAATCTTCTAGCCAAAGCAAATACTCTGGATTTTGCCAGGCAAAATGCCTGTGGAGAAATGAGTCAATTCATACAAAATTCAAAGCTGTCTTTGGTCAGTGACATTTTCGTGAAAATCTGTGGGTGGGTAAAAGTCTTGCAAAATTCCTTTTTGCTATTGGATAAAATTCATCCAGGAAAAATAAGCAAAATTAAGTGGCGACCCACATTCCCCCTAATCCCCTTATTAACACTCCCTAACCTCCCTACACAACTGCTTTCTATTGTGCACGGAGGCGAGCCATCCATATTTCTGATGCTGGCAACAAAACCCCTCTCCCTCTGCTCACTCTGCTCCCATCAGATAGGCTTTCTCATGAGAAGTACTGGCAGACACAGTGTGCTTGATCTCATTCAGAACACCTTCCTGGGAATGCTACCCGGGGGTTACACACTCTTCAATTTAATGGCAAAAAAGACCTACGGCAAAAACATTCTCAGTGTGCGCTCTATTGGAACCATCACTATGGACACTGTTAGGGATGGCTAGTGCATATCAATAATTTGGGATTATACTTTATGCTATCCTTTTAGCATTGTGAAACAGGGGTTTGAGAAAGAAACAAAATCCGAGGCTCCGTGATTTGTTCTTACTTGAGTATTTGAACTCTTTTAATCTCAGAAAAACATATAATAGAATTCAGCCATGGTTATGCCTAGGAATGCTCAAAAGTTCTGGTTAATTCTGAGAGTCATCACTTTTGGGGTTGATCTAAGCTCAGGAAGGTCTAAATAGAATGATTCGGCATCTAGAAATTGCTCTAGTTAGTAGACAGCAGTGAGTGGACGTGGGCATTTTTAATATTTTATATATATATATCCCAGTTTCTGATTAACTGAGGTCTGTCTGTCTGCCTGCTGAGGCCTTTACTTCTCAAGGCCCTTGCCCCTGGCTGGGAATATCTCTGTCAGCGGGGCCAGGCCTGGAAAGAGCAGCTGGTTTGGCTCTCCACAGAATAAGAATGAGATGTACAGAAGGGTGGAGTTGTTTGGGTGGAAAAGAGAAAAGAAACCATTCTCTTCTTCCAGTAAGTTAACCAAATAATAAATTAGCAATCCTCCCCCAGTTCTGACACCTAAAATCCTGAGTGATCCGAATCCCAGCATCCTGGGTGAGGCTGAGAAGTTATAGGCACAGATTCTGAAGATGTGCTCTCCTGGCATGAGATGGCATATGGCATCGGGGAGGATGGCAGTGCTAGTCTTTTACTGTAAGCAGGCTGTCACTGAGCAGTCCTTTCACATACTTCTTCCACCATAGCTTCCAGAAGCACACTGTGCTGCCTGTAGTCATGGTCACCAAACACAAGTGGGTCATTGCATCTTTCTTGGATCAATAAGCTAAGTGAGTGAAAATGGTGGCTAACTCTAACAACAGTTCACAGAAAATTAATAGCAGTGAAACATACGTAAAACAAAAGTGGACTGGGTCCTGTAATTTAAGCTGCCCTAAGGCTTTGCACCATGTGACACAGCCACAAAAACCCAAAGATCACTTCATGTCTCCAAAAGATGAATGTGGTCATTTTACTTGGCAACAAGATTGAGCTTTGAATCAACTATCATCAGATTTCAAAACGGCGGGAAATGAAATATTTCAGTTTTAACAATTCTTTGTGTCTAGATTCCAAGAGTGTCAAGATTGGTTTTGCAAAAGGCAGAAAATGCGTCTTTTCAGATGTGCATCCACGTCAAGTATAATGTCTTCTCTCCGTAGACTAAAACTTGAGAGGACTATTAACGTTTCACAGCAAAATTATGTGCTACCACTTAGCTATAATCCTACAAATCAAGCAGATGACATGCGGCAACGTAACAGTTTTAGAAGATATAACACTCCCACTATGTAGATTTCACATGAAAATGGGTATCTTCCTGCTAAAAACATACAGTCCCAAGACTAGAACTGCAGCATTAGTCAGCTCCTAAGAAACTCTGTTTCATATAAATACATTTGCACTACAACATGTGTCATTTAATGCTTTGTGGGTCTAGATCTGATATGATGTTATATCTAGCAATCTGAATTTTATAGGTTCCATCCAGAAGTGGGAAGTAGGCAGACGAGAGAAGAGAAAAATCACCTCCCATACCCATCCTGAATAATACAATGAAAAGCCATGCAGAGGCCTGCAAATATTCACCTCTCAGCTTATTCTTTCACTGCAGTATTTCTATTTTTAATAGTCATCATGTACTTTAGCAAAAGTCAACTTTATAAAGTTATATGCCACTGAAAAGTCTGGGAACAGTGGGAAAATGGGGAAATCCTATTGCACAAAAATTAATTTTGCAATGCAAAAAATATGTTTTGGATAATTCAGGCCTTTATGTTTATTTCAGTAAAGCCAAATCCAGCAAACTATTTTCAGCCAGGATTAGTCAGAACTAAAAGGTTGGACTGTTTTCCTTCAGAGACTGAACGTGTTTCCTGCCTGTAATAGGCCGGTGTGTTCCAAACAGACTAAATGGAATTGCCTTCAATTGCTTGTCTCTTTCTGGCATTTTTAATGCAGAATCCTACTGACAGTGTAAGGTTTTGCCACCTGAAATGTAATTATTCTCTTCAGTCATCTAATCTGGCATCCTCACAGTGTATCAGCTTCTGGTTTTCCTTAAGAAAAATCACAATGTTGGGGTATAAGGTAATGGCAAGAAATGCAATTTCGTTCCACCAGAAATTCTGAAAACTCTTTCAAAAATACCTATTGGATAGTAAAAAAGTGCTTCCAATACTTGCATTACAGCTATCAACCTGTTTGGTTTGCTTTTACATAAATCAGACAACTTGGCCAATCTATAATCAAACATAACATGGCCTAGATTCTTTATCATCAAGACATACTAGATAGAGTAAGAAGGGACTCTGGTTGGGGGACCACCATCTGAATAAGTCCCCTTTAAAAATGATTTATATATTTCACACATCGCGTGAACTGTAGCATATTCAATATCCAGGGAGTACCTATAGTTCTCAGATTCTAACATTGAAAGAAATATTCCTGTCCATCTAAACTAATATAAAATACATGCACTTCTTCTTCCAAGAGTTAAGTGAGCTGTTGAAAATTGTGCAAAGCTGCCCTGTGATCCCAAGGGTGGTGTCCTGCTTGTAAACCCTGAAGGTTTCTTTTAGGTGTGAAATGATTGCAAAATCATTTAAGAGTCATATTATTCAAAAAGAGTAAATTTTGCCAAAAAACAGAGATAGTTCCAGAATCGATGTTGTGAAGAGGGGAGGAAGGGGAGAAAGAGACACCAGACCCACTTCCTTCAATACCCAAGGCACCATCCCTTCTTGGTTCATTCTCCTTATACTTTTCCACAAAATTTTCTCTCCTTAAAATTCAGTGACAGCCTGTGAGATCCTGCTCCCGTGGTATCCCCTGGGTGTTTTTATGCCGGCTATAAATCATTAACTAGTCATACAACACTGGAGAGTGTGCGGTGTGCAGGCGTGTGGGTGTATGCAGCAACATTTTTACTAGCCAAGTTGCTAAGTGTGAGCTCCTTTCCAAATATCAGAACCACCCCTCCTCCAACCCCAATACTCGCCCAGTTATTGGAGGGAAGGAAAAAAAATCACTGAATATTTGCTTTGGAGAAAAGCTAAAGCTTGCTGGTAGTGCAGCGAGTATTCTTCTGCCCTGCACATTTCAGCAATCGAGTTGGTGCCTGGCAGGCATGTGCCGAGCTTCTGGACAGTGTGGCAGATGGACCTCCCCTGACATTATGGATCATGTACGTTCGCAGAAGAGAATCTAGAAGTGGAGCGATACCCCAGCCACTAATAATTAAAGAAATTTTTCCTGTCCTCAGACTGAAGAGAAGTCACATTTCATGAATACCTAGACACCCATGTATCCGAATTCCATAAAAGAAAATGTCCCCTGATTTGCGGCCAAGTTGGGAAAAGTCCATGCACCTACAACCAACTCCTGCGAACATGAGGAGGAGACTCACCGTGCACTTGTTGGGCTTCTCCCCAGAGTGGACCCTCATGTGGATCAGCAGTTTATATCGAGCGTTGAATGGCTTGTACCTTCGAGGACAGCCAGCCCAGAAGCAAGTGAAGTCTTCCCCTTTGCGCTGGTCTATGTGAACCTTCTCGATGTGCCGCACAAGTTCCTCCTGCTGGTCATACAGAGCACTGCAGTCTATCCAGCGACAGGAGTGTTTGCCCCCCACATCATCCATCTCCCCGTCCTCCTCCAGGGCAGCCTGGGGAAGGGCCAGCGGCTGGGCCCGGGGCACTAGCTCTTGGTGGTGTAGATGTGGGTGGGAGTGGTAGGGTGGCGGAGGGCCCTGTGGGGGCGGCGGCAGAGGAGGCAGTGGGGGCGGCGCAGGGGGCAGGTCCAGGGCTGTGCCCGGGAAATCATCCAGGCGCTCGGTCTTCAGCAGGCTGGCCGACTGGCCATCAGGGTTCGGCAGGCCATGCTGCACCACCATGTTGTTGACCAGACCTGGCTGGAGGGTCCCATGCTCCAGCTGCTGCATGCGCTCATACTCTAGCACACTGTCCTCTCCGTAGGCTGGGAGTGCCAGGCCACCGCCGGCCACCCGCAGGCCCTTCTGGCTGCTCGGCACTGAGCACGGCTGGGGAATGCAGCTTCCCCGCACCCCCAGGAAATGCCCATAGACCTCGGGCTGCGGGGACATGCTGGCCGGGGAAGCCCTCGACCCATTGATGTAGGCGACCAACGACGTGGGCGAGGTGCGGATGATGGTATTGAAGTCTATCCCGATGCCATCGGACAGTGGGGACAAGGACAGCGCTCTCTTCTTGGAGCGGGCTGAGTGGGACCTGGCCGATGAGTGCCGGGGGCTAGGGTAAGGAGAGTGGCTATTTTCCATGCCAAAAAGGTAGGACGGCAACGAGTTAGAGACGCTATTGCTAGACACAGCTGTCCCAGGAGGAAGGCTAAGGAGGTCCCCTAGATCGATGCCGTTCTGGGAGCTGTGGCTGGAGGACAGCGACGGGAGAGCCCTGTAGCCATGAGACCACTCCTGTTTCACGCTCAAGGCTGACTGACTATCCGTCAGGCTCAAAGTTGTGGACGCCAAAGACTCACGAGAAATAAGGGACCTGGAACAGCAGCCAGAAGGGAAAAAAAGAAAAAAGACAAACATTTTAGCAGGATATGGATTGCTTAAGAGCTAAAAGAACATTGCATTGACAATCCCTTAAGTATTTCCCCTAATTACATTCTCGGCTAAACACACATTCTTTGGCTAAGATAAAACCCAAGGCTTTTAGTTCCAGGTAAATAACATTTTACCAAGAAGGACAATAGAGGCCAATGCTCACTGGAATAATAAAACAAAAGATCTATTGTTATAAATAATCTTAATACTATAATGATAATAAAGGGTCCTTGCTTTATTTTTAAATATCTTTTTTAATGTGGGAGGAAGGGGGAGGAATTAAAGACCGGGGAATAATTATTGATGCCTGTCATGGCAAACCAAATAAGCAAGCATTTAGTAAGCATTTGCTGTGTACAGTATACTACAAATATGCATCGCAGTGAATACAAGTCTAAACAGAGCCCCAGCCTTTGAGCAAAATTTATTCAGTTAAGTAAAATGTAAACTTATGCTTCATTTGAAAAAAAAAAGTATATCCTCAAAGTCAAAGGGTCATCCAGGAGACCCAATAATAACTTCACAACTTCATTTCACTTATGATAAGGAATCCTAAAGATTTCTTTGATAGTAACTCAATCAGTACTTAGTCACAACATCAAATCACCCCGGAAAATTAAAAAAAATATATACAAAACAGAGCTATGATAGAGAAGGGAATGACAGCCTGAAATCAAGTTGTATTTAGTATAATGCATTTGGGCCACACAGGGTTTAATGACACCTGCTAGATTGGGGTTTTCCATGAGTTCCTCTACTGAATCAGAGCAGTTTGAGACCAAGAACAGATCTTTCCCTTTCAGGAGTTCACTTTAGCAGTGATTCATCTCTTTTTCATTCCCTTTACAAACCATGTCCCATGTGTCATAAGATTTACCTGCAAATCAAAATGGTTTGTAATGTATTCTGGCCACTTTAAAATTTATCTTGCTTTACTATGACATCATTGCCTTAAAAAAAATCATTGGAAGGAAAAGCCACATCCCTTGGACGTAAATTTGTCACAATGAAGCTAGCCATCACTCACTGTCTTTCCTGACTCAGACATGGTGTGTATCAGAAAAATCCAGTTTACTCTGATGCACCTTGCATTGGCTTTCTACAGAGATTTTTCTGACAAAAAAAAAATTAACCCAAAACAAAATATTAAACAGAATATCTATCTTCCCAGAATGAACCCATTTACTACTTCCAGCTGTTATACAGCAACCTGTTGCAAAGGAATTGAGGGGAAAAGAGAAGCATTCTCGTCCCATCTGTTCCTGTTTGTCCTTCTCACAAAATGGAAGCCAGGAACACTTTTTTCTATAAGTGAACTATGGGCAAGAAAGCATCTTGACTCTCAAAGGCACAGTATAAGGTGATAGATAACACCGTTATCGGTGTGATGTTTCCACCGAGTGAAGTAATGTTTACCAATGACAAACACAGCAGGAATTTACGTCCCATTGCCCTTGACACAGACTTTTTTTTTTTTTGCCACCCCATTCTTAAATTTGGGCTGAAGTCCTTTTGCAAGCCCCAAAGTGGTTTCTGAACCATCTGTTTTTAATTCCCCATGGACACTTTCAATTATTTTCCCAGCACACCCGCAGCATGCAGCCCTCCCTGCAGAGCTCAGCTGAAGGCTCCTGGTGATTGGATGTCAAAGGCCTTTTGGTCCCTTCCCCAGGGAGATTCAGGAATTGCTTTCTGACCCAAGCCAAATCAGTAGTCGTGTCATATATGAGGCAAAGACAACTGACTTTGCTTTATACCCGGAGGTTGAAAAGGCTTAGCAAACATTCTCAAATGGTACATTGGCTTAGCCACTGTCACTGTCATACTGGAGCACTTCAGATTTTTAAGCGGTAAATATCAGGCAGAAGGTATTCTACCCACCTGCGTAGACTTTGCATATGAAATTATATTATTTAGTTTGAGGGTGGCCTCCAGTGCAACCCGTTAACCTGTTCTATTGTCGAGAGGTTTTCTTTTTTCCCCAATTACACCTAACTATGGCTTGATTTAAATATGACTGTAACCCCACACAGACATCCCTTAACTCCTTGGATGCCTGTTTTCTAAGATGGTTACCATACATTTTTCAGAAAGCAAATTCTATACTCTCTTCATGATGGCAATAATATGAACAGAGAACTCCCCCCTTCTATCTCAAACACCAAATACGAACAAAACTTCCAACAAATGAAAGTTTACCTAGCTGCCAATCCCCCTCGTGTGCAATTCCCCAGATCTTTCAAAGTTCTAATCCATGAAACTTCTCCTAAATACACCAGCTCTCAGGAGAGTCCTCTTTCCAAAGCAGGTGTAAACTGTCTGTACTGTGCCTTAAATGTTGCCCACTATTGGCATCTGTGGGTATAATGTTCCTCAATGAAATCCAAAGCCCTTCAACAGAAGGAATTGTTTTTATCTCTCTGGCACCCACCAGAGTATAAGATATATAAGTTTTCAAAAAACTGTTGATTAAGAAGGGAAATAATCAATACAATGATAAATAGCCATCACTTACAGCTTACAAAGCATTTTCCATGCACATCATCACATCTGATACAGCCTGTGAGATGAGTAAACTGGATTTTTAAAATAATCTCTATTTTACAGAGAATAAAAACTAAGATTCTGTGAAGCCCTCCACTTACACCACACAAACAAACACTGGAAGTAGTAACGAAGCAGCCTTGGATAAGCAGTCACCTAGTGAGTCACACAGATCCTCTGTCGTTCTCCCCATACCATTCCCCAGATGTGGTCCATTATACTCTGTCTGATTCACAGACCTGGTGTAATAGGCTTGAAGTCACACAAGCTGTGGTTAGAACCCACATTTTCTGCGACAATCTGCTGAGTGACTGCGGAAAGTTCCCAAGGACTTTCTCCTACAGCCCCTGCTGCTGCACACACCAGGCCTCTGGGAAAGAGCAGACATGACAACCTCCATTTCCCTGTGTTCATCTGCTCCCAAGGATGTTATTTCTAGTGACTGTTTAATTTGGAGTTATAGGAAAGGAAAGAGAAATAGCTCAAACAAAATGCAACCAATAAAAACTCTGACACGATCAGTGAAACAGGTTAAGGTGGCTGGTGAGGCAGGAGCTCATTGATTGTCATGGCGCCATAAGGGGCATGATGACCAAGCAGAATTGCTTGGTTCAGTGCCAAGTTCAAAAGAAATACTAACTGACAGATCACATAGAATTCCTCAAACTGATCCTTAAGAGAATATATATTATCTATGCCACAGAAACGACTAGTCCTGGTCCATCTGTAAGGTCTTGTCTGTGTGCATGGGCAAATCCCCCAGAATTAGCACTGCATCTGAAGATAGTATGGCTTTGTAAAACATTAGAACTTACAGAGAGTCCAGAGTCTATTCTCAGCTCTCCCCTGAGCTTTTTGGACATACTCCAACCCAAAAGGAGACCCTAAGAAATTCCACCACCAGAAATCACCTCCATGAATGTCTCGTTTAGGAAAGAAAAATGTAGTGTCTTTTGAGATCCAGAATGACATTATTAGTTTGATGGTTGCACTTTGTAACTGACAAGCTAAGTGACACTAGGCAAAGCATTTAGACTTCGTGTGTCTTGGGTCCATCATCTATACAACAGAGGTATTACCTGCAGATGGTTTATGAATATTCAATCATAAAATAGAATCATGGAAAGCTTAACATATATAAAACCCATGCCAGTAGTGTCCAATCCCTTCTGTTGCTGCATTGGTACATGAAGCCACTGTATGAGGTTATCATATGAGTACTTGTCATTTTAGGGTAAATATATACAATGATTTCTGTATTACACCGAGTTTTGGCAATGCCTAAGTTAAGAATGGCTTCTGGATCTCCAAGAAGGTAAGGTGTAGTTTGCATTTATCATTAAGTGGGGCTAGTCAGAAATGGTTGGGAAGTTAATAAAGGCAAACATGAAGCATTAGGGTACATAGTACATCACTGGATTAAACAGAATCCTATGAAGAAGCAGTGCTTTTTCCAAAATGAGCACTCCAGAAGACAAACAGTTAAAGGAAGTCAAAAGAAGAAATACATGGGCAGCCCCAGTGGCGCAACAGTTTAGCGCCGCCTGCAGCCTGGGGTGTGATCCTGGAGACCCCGGATCAAGTCCCACGTCAGGCTTCCTACATGGGCCCTGCTTCTCCCTCTGCCTGTGTCTCTGCCTCTCTCTCTCTCTCTCTCTCTCTCTCTCTCTCTCTGTGTGTGTCTCTATGAATAAATAAAATATTATCAATAATTAAGAAAATTCAAATTAAGATAAAATAACAATTTGTACATTAAACTGGCAAAAGGTATCAAAATAATAATATCTGGAATTTAGTAGAAAAACAGGAACTGTCATACTACTGGTGAGTGTATCAATGGGTAGACCTTTGCTACAGTGCAATTTGCAAATACATAGCAAAAGCCTCAAAATTGCATATCTCCTTTAACTCAGCAAATTTTACTTCTAAGAATTTATTCTAATAACCAGATTTATTCTAATAGCCAGACATATACAACAGAAGATTCACAGAATTGATCCAACAAAGCATTACTTACAATATTGAAACAAAGGGAACCAAATGAATGCCCAGTAACAGACTGATAAAAAATTATAGTTTTTTTTTTTTTTTTAGTAAAATGGAATCTTGGGCAGAAAAAAGCCATTATATGATACTAAAGATGATTTTTACTACAGAAGAAAGTGTTTCTATTAACTTAAAAAATGGTGATTATAACATTATGTAGGTAATTATAGATCAACGTGGTGGAAAGGAAAACCTGTGTTTATTTTGAATGTGTTTGCATCTAATGAGAAGGATATGTATCAGAATTGCTCTGGGTAGCCCCGGTGGCGCAGCAGTTTAGCGCCACCTGCAACCCAGGGCGTGATCCTGGAGACCCGGGATCGAGTCCCACGTCAGGCTCTTTGCATGGAAACTGCTTCTCCCTCTGCCTGTGTCTCTACCTCTCTCTCTCTGTCTCTATGAATAAATAAATAAAATCTTAAAAAAAAAAAAAAAGAATTGCTCCCATGGTTGCCTGCGGGTGGTAGGGTTCAGGATGACTATCATTCACTATTTTGTGCTTTTCCATACTTTCTACAATGAATAATAATTACATAAATAATCAAGAAAAAATAATAAATTTTACAGCTTTCTATACAACAGCCATCACTCCATGTGAACAGTGCATACCCTCTCCTCACCACTTTCCCTAGCATATCTCCAATGGACAACACACAAAGTTGATTGTCTCTCCATCTCCTCTTTACCCTTAGACAGAAAAATGCCCTCAGGTTGAAATGTTGCCTCCTTTCCTTCCATTCATCTGATGGAACACACAAATCAATTTGAGGATCACAAATAAATGCAACCTTCCCAGATCACTGAAAGTAATTTCCGTACTTTACCAAGCCACCCCACCTCCCAACTCTTGCTTCTTTGCTCATCCTGCCAAAGAATTATTTCCATCGAAGGACTCACAGAATACATTGTCAAAAACACATGTCAATGCATCTTTAAGATGCTGTCCTTTAAGGATATAAAATTATGCAAAGGAATCAAATATGCCAGAAAACACTGAGATAATGACCCTTCTCCAGCCGGCCCATGAAAGGGGCTGCATAAGGTACACGGCTGGAGCAGCCCGCACCCTGCCTCCCGTCACTTTCTACATTAATTACAACTCTCTGCCTTCAAGGCATTGGCTGGACTTGCCACAGACAGGAAGCTGAAGGCTTCCCAATGACATCTACCCCCTGAGTACAGTTAATTTTACACGCAACACTCAGCAAGTCTGAGGAGTCCCTCAAGGCATAATCATCAATGGGAAATGACAGCAGCAGCTTCCCATCACAAAATTCTCAGGTGAAAAACAAGTTTCCATCTCACTAAAAAACTGGCATAAAAAAAAAAAAGGACCCAGGAACTCTGATTTCTGAGTATCAAGTAGTGGCTAGGAGGACACTGCAGAGTACAAGAGGGCAAAGGAGACACGAGCAAGAGGAGGGAGGATGGGAGAAGAAATGGGACCCCACACCTGTGAGACACCTCCACAGCTTCCATCCTCTGAGAAGAGGAAACAGAGGGCCAATTCCTTTGCGAAATCACAGCTACAGCAGAGCCAGAACTTAGAGGTAAAAACTCTGGGTTGTGCTTCTCCAAGAAGACTACTTACAGAAGACGAAATAATTCATTTCAAACATGGAAACAGACCTTACACATTGCATGGTATTTTGGTTTTATGTCCTCTATAATATCAACCTTGAGAGGTACAAAAATTTGCCTGAAAGGGTGATTTCCCTTTCCTATTCAATTCTCTCCCATATGGAATGATATACAGCATTTATTAGACCCATTTATTCCAGCACCTAATTAGACATTGAGTTGAAATGTTACATAATTTGTGCATGAAAGTGTGTCTTCCCAGACATATCATAAAATCTTGAAATTCATGGCCTCTCTCTTTACATTTTCTACCATCTCCCTAAACTTCAATTATTATTAAGTATTAAGTATTATGAAGACAGTAGGTACTTAACAAATATTCGAGTGGATGGGTGGATGGATGAACAGACAAATAGATGGGAAGGCATCCTGGGGTTACCACAATTGTATACACTGAAAACTGGGCATGGAAGAGAGATGTATGTACAGGGCACATCTCAATTCTCTAGCCATGACAGGACCGCTTCACCAGGAACTGCCACATTTATACACTGGGCTTTAGTCACTAAGGCCCCAAAGTCAAACTGGGCATTACTTACACTCACATGGTAAAACAGCAGGTATTAAACCATTCTTCCCAATTAAGATATTATGACACATGGTTTTTATACACATTCCCCTACAAAACTCAATTTGAAAGAGTTGCTTGACTGAGTGTGTGTATGTGTGTGTGTTGTGTGTGTGTGTGTGTGTGTGTGTGTGTGTGTGTGTTCAGCAGGGAAGGGAAAACACTTGTGGGGTGTTGATTATACCATAAGAAGGGGGAAAAAAAAGTAACATGAGACCTGGTATCTGAAGGAGGTATATTCAGGTTGGCAGCATTCATTGCCCTCTGTAAGCTAGGACTGATCTGGTTGCATGCTGTAGAGACCTGGCTTGCTGGAGGTGAATTGGGTCCCAGTCGCTGAACCATCATGGGACTGCTGGTGACCACTAGATTGTTGCAGCTGCCTTTTCCAATGGACTTGCACTGAGGCCCAAAGCCAAGAGCCCCTAAAAACAAATGAATCAGGTTAGCTTTCATGTGCCTTACATCAGAAATCAGTAAATACACACACTTGCCCACTTATATTAGGACTCCTCTTTAAAGATAGTCCTTGGATCACCTTTTTGTTCATTTTTAGTATTAGTGATACCAAAAGCTTTCTGTATTTCCAATGAAAAAGCCATTGCTACAATAAAAAAACTTCGATAATCACCATTCATATAAAATGTGCTTACATTTTGCTCCTTCTATGCAGAAGCACCTAGCTATTAAGAATCATATTTTATTGTCTCCTTACCTAAAGAGTTAAGGTGATAAGTAGATGGGATTACTTATATCTAGAAGTTTCTTCTAGAATGGCTAATATATTGAATTAGCCAGCAAGGAAAGTTGACACTGCTGAACACTTATTTACCTCATTTACTTCCTTCCAATTCTGGCCTTCCAAAAAGTTTAAAGGGATATAGTCTGGCTGTATCCCTCTAGTCCTGATTTCTCCTCTTCATCCCAGTACATTGTCATTGGACATATACCCAATTCAAAGAAAATCAGGATGAAAGAGCCATTAACAAAATACTCATCCTAAAAGCAGCATGGTAACCAAATTCAACACTGATTTATCATCTCATTAGTAACAATCTTCAAATGTAGTAAAATGTGGTACATACCCAAAGGAGGAAGAAAAAAAAGAAACCCCCCAAAATCTGTGTCATTATGGAGAAGTGAAAAACATAAGACAGAAAGTCAAACACAGCCATGACTCATTTATAAGAAATAATAATAATACTGGTTGAATCATTCTAGACATTCTTGTCACATGGATGTGCTTTTTTCAAACATTTTTTGCAAACTACCTGGTCAAGCCTCAGTGTGCACTGGTGTTCCCATTTCAAACAAAAATAAGGATAATGTCAGATTTTAACAAATTAAACTCTAAAATTTTCTCATCAAATTCCACGTACTTCTCATTGATGTATTTGGGATCAAAATAAGTGGAAAATCATCACAGTAACTCTCCTTAGCCCCAGGGGACATAATTTCCTATTTTGTTTTTCCAGAAATTAAATCAATAACCAAAAAATGACTTTGTCATCTTTAACATTCTCTTCCAAGAGCCCACAAAGCTGAAGAATAAACAGACCTTAGAGCAATCACCATGCTCTCATCAATGAAACCACATCTCAAAAATGCTGAGAGAGTTGCAATGTTTTTAATTGGCAGGAACCTGCTGTTTAGTCCAGCACTCTGGGAAATCCCAGTGGTAATTCACTTGCCCAAGGCCACACAGGGATTTAATGACTGAGCAGAAATGGATTCCATTATAGTGTATTTTCATGGTGCCTATGTGTTTAAGTTTAGGTATTAGATGCTTAGTTTCTTCCTTGGATACTTACCAAGATCATTAGCTCCAAAAGAAATTTCTCCCTGATTTTTTTTTTCAGACACATAAACCAGAACCTTCCCCTCTCCCCCCCCCCACTGCCACTTCTATCTGATGTATTTTCTTGTGCCTTGAAAGACCAATCATAGATAGTCTCTCCGTTTTCAACGCTTGTATAACAGTACCATCAGGTCTCCATTTTGACATCAAAAGTAGTGGGTACATTCTTATGCAATGATCATAAACTTAGTATCTTTATGAATTCCAACAAGCTACATGCCATTTGCTTTCATAGTCTTTTTTTTTTTCTTTTTTTTTTTTTTTACCTCGGAAAAAGGCAATGTGATGGTTCGTACCCTGGACCAATATGTTAAGACACCTGAATTGCCTCCACAGGTTCCATCACCACTAGCCACTGCTATTAAAAGCAACATCAGATGTCAGATATTCCCGTTAAACTCAATATCATCTATTCATCTGTCATTTAATGCCTGGTTCTCTCTCAATAAAAAGGTTCTAACATGTACCTTTAAAACAAATACATATTAGCAGCTGGAACAGCACAACCAAGAACTACCACTTGATGACAAAGCATACTGACACTTTCTTCCATCGAAGCTAAGATGCCATATATTGTAAGGGACAGTATTATTTTATGTGCCGGTAAGAACACACGCCACCACTGTAACTAGCGCATGGTATCGAGATTTTGGAGAGGTTCTGATGTAGAAAAATGCACACCTTAAAAATCAATAAATACAAATACAGTTGCTGAAAATTTTCACTTAGCCCTTGTCTTGTTCATGCTCTCCTCTCTGCTGGGCACACCCTTACAGTAATTTGTCTACCTGGTGAGCACCTCTCGGTCTTCATGCTCTCAATTCAAAGGTCACCTCCTCTCCTGCTACCCCTTCCCCGTTGCCAGCTGGGCAGATGTGACCAAGTCTCCTTTTTGTTCTCCCACCATCTCTCATAGCACATCTGCCTCAGCACCTTTAAGGAACTGTCATGTTTACATGCCTGCCACTTCCTCCTCTTTTATATTTTGCTGCTTTTAAAGACAAAGATCCTGTTTGAGGCAGCTCTGCTTCCTTAGCACATAGCCCAGGGCCTATACCACGTACACACCAAAGTCTGTCAATGAAGTTAAGAATGAATTAATGTGGATACAGAGAAAAGATCAGTGGTCCCAGGGACAGGGGCAGTGGGGAACCTATGGTTCCCAGGTATAAGATAAATAAGTCTTGGGCATTGATGTATAGCAAAGTGACTATAGTTAATAATACTATATTGCCTATTTGAAAGCGGTTATGTGAGTAAATCTTAAAAGTCCTCATCACAAGGAAAATAATGTGTGTAACTATGTGTAGCGATGGATATAAGGCTTATTGTGGTGATCATTTCACAGTGAGTATAAACAGTGAATCACTATGCTGCACACCTGAAACTAATACAGTGTTACATGTAATGATGCCTCAATGAACACAAATTTTAATGAATGAATGAAAATAAAAGACAGTTGTACATGAATATTTAATACTCACACATTATTTCCACTGAAACCTCCTGGCTTAAAAAACCTCCTGGTTTTTTATTTAAAACAGTGCCAGTTTTCAAAAACAAACTCCAACTAAGCCAATCCCTTGACACTTCTCTATAGTACTGCTAACTGGGTCAGAACTGAGGATGAAGCCCATGGGGATCATAATTACAAAGCCATCTTCCTGGGTGAGAATTTTACACTGGTCACTGGTCAAGGCTGCCTTTGTAACTCTCCACCCTGGATTCACACATTCAAATGATCTCCCCACTCTGTAATACTGAGATATTCATCTCCCCCTTCCTGGTATCCCCATCGTTTTGGCTACTTTGGCTACACCACCTCTGACTCCCAAATTCACTGGCCACCAAGAACCTCATCTAACCACAGAGAAATGACAACTTCTGAAAGGTATCATAAATGGCATCCTTGAAGCATGAGGGTGAGCAGTAAATTTATGGGAAACAAGTAATGTTTGTAGCACAGCGGTGAGAATGTTCTGGAAAATGGTATCATCTGGTTCACAAGTGGAAGCAAATGATACTGTGACCAAGACCTATGGCACTCAATACAACCATCCAACTCTAATATTGTTTTCATAGTGCCAAACATAACAAACACCACCAGACTGGCTGGAACCACACTGTGCTCTGGGCTCTGAAGACAGCCTGCCTTGGGGCTGACTTCCTGCACCCATGCTGGTCATGTGACTTGGGCAATTACTAAAGTATATGTGTGCCTCATCCCTATGCCTTCTCACCTGTAAAATGGGAACAAAAATAACACTACCTCCCCCAAGATTGTTGTGCATCTAGTATCAATTATACATATAAAGGACTCTGCACATCTTCCAGCACATAGTAGGTATTCAATGGATGTCAGATGTTATTGTCACTACCCTTACTATTACTGTTCACACCTCTCACTGATTTTTGGTCCACTCTCTTTCTTGAAGGGCAAAACAGTTCCTTATAATTCTTTGCACAAATCAAGATAGTGAATGATGCTATTTCATTCTCTAACCACTTTAAGGCTCGAGCCAACGTTTTAAAAACCAGGTGTCATCACAGATAGAAGAAAAGTTTTCAACTGGCCAAGTTTGAATGTTGCTTGGCTTGTCATTCCCTGAAAACAAACCATACAGCTTTTCTGTCTACCAGATGCGCCAACCACTTATATGCTGGTTTTTGTTTTGAAATACCACTTATTTTTAGAGGCTGCATGATGTTTTTTTTAAAAAATGTGTTTACTGCTCAAATAAAGATGCCAGTAGATGGCCTTCTGAGTACTACATCAAGATCACTGTGTGCTGGTGGGGAGTGCAAATGTATTGCATTTTTGAGTTTCTGAACTGAGAGGTCATCCTAGTAGGGGCATGTTTTTAATTAATGTCTTCGTTAGTTAAAAGGGTTCTTTTGAAGTCAAAGAGTTGATTATGTCGCAATTGCCCGCGCTGAGGCTATAGTCCTCAGAAGATTTGTGCTTACCCACTAGTTCCTCTAAAAATGACACAGATATGGAGGGGGACAGAAATGGCATATATATATATATATATATATATATATATATATATATATATATAGGAGGGAGTCAGGAAGAACTAATCAAAGTTTCTTTGGTTGTTACTATTCACTTAAGTGACACTTACCAAGTGCCAACCACAAGCCAGGGAGTCCCTGGAGACAGATGGACAGAGTCTTGGCCCCTATGGAGCCCTCATTCTGGCTACAAGAAGGAGTACAAAGATGAGTACTCTTCATTACAAAAGAAGTGACCACTGCTTCTAGTTTGGATCATATGAGATGGCTTTCTTTGTAGGCCAAACGTGATCTAATAACCTAACACAAATGCAGGGTGTTGTAGAGAGAGAAATAATAATATACATCAGGATTTGAGTCCTGGCTCCCCACTCACTAGCTGTGTGACACTGGACAAGGTCTTTTAAGTCTATGTACATGATGTCGTATTACCTCGAATGGGGACCGTAGTAGTACCTAACTCACAGGTTGTTAAAGATGATTAAAAGGATAAGTGTATATTAATATATACCTTACCACCATATATTGCCAATATAATATACACCACCA